CTTTGTTACTAATGTTGTGGCCCCACCCCATAACAAAGAAACAATTTCCGGAGGATGAGGCCCAGAAATCAGGATTTTAAGAAGATTCCCAGGTGATTCTAATGTGCAGCCAAGGTTGAGAACCGCTGGGATAGAGCATCCACCTTCGGATTGAAGGGTCCCAGGTTCGAAGCATGTGTCTATCATTTTACTTTTTATCCAATCACAGAGGTTTCCCCGTTTTGCTTTCTCCCGCCTCTCTATCACCAATGGATGTCATGTAACTCCTTTGTAAAGTATAAAACGAGGTGAAAAACCAGCATTCTCTGGAGCATTATCTTAATTCGTTGAAATTCTGCTTCCAGGCAATTGTCGACAGTTTGGCTCAAATAAACTCACAAAAATTATTCACAGGTTTGAATGTTTCTTAAGTTAACACTAGCATTAAACATTTGAGGCAATTTCTAGGCCCCAGACCAGTGTCTTCAACTCATTAAGAGAGTTTGTATTCCACAGCAGAAACCAGTCCGTTACCTTTACAGTGGTTCTCAAGTTGTGGTCCCAGACTGGCAACATCACTTGGGAACTTGATAGGAATGCAAATTATTGGATTTCACCTTAGATCTACCTAATCAAACTCTAGGGGTGGAGCCCAGCAATCCGCTAGTGTTTTTGTTTTTTAGTTTATTGGTTGATTTTAGAGAGAGAAATAGCTATTTGTTTTTCCACTTATTTATGCATTCATTGGTTGATTCTTGTTCGGGTCCTGACTGGGATCAAACCCACAGCTTTGGTATATAGGGATCATGTTCTAACCAACTAAGCTACCCAGCCAGGGCCCAGCAATCTTTTGTTTTTTTCAGGGTTGTTTGTGTTTTTTTTCTTTTAATTAATGTTAAAGAGAGAGAGAAAAATATCAATGTGAGAGAGAAACATCAACCAGTTGCCTCCCACACTCACCCCAACTGGGGTTTGAACCCACAACTTGGGTATGTGCCCTGACTGGGGATTGAACCAGCAACCTTCCAGTGCAGGGGACAATGCTCAACCAACTGAGCCACACCAGACATGGTCCAGCAATCTGTTTTAACAAGCCCTCCTGGTGACTCTGATGCACACTAAAGTTTGAAAGCCATCTTCCTATTACTCCACATGCTTCTCTACCTAAACGCTTCCTCAGGGGAGTGGGAGAGGGCAGGTTAAAATTTTAAGTGGGGCATGCGCTCTCTCTAGGGAGCACACAAGAGCCTTTCCCTTCCCACTCTTCTTCTTCCCCCTAGGCCAGTGGTCGGCAAAGTCATTAGTCAACAGAGCAAAATATCAACAGTACAACGATTGAAATTTCTTTTGAGAGCCAAATTTTTTAAACTTAAACTATATAGGTAGGTACATTGTTAGTAACTTAATTAGGGTACTCCTAAGGCTTAGGAAGAGCCACACTCAAGGGGCCAAAGAGCCTTTATCTCTCCTTAAGTCCCAAGGGTCCTTCTACTACTTGTGGAACTATCTAAATAAACTTTCTCTTATAATTTGGGGGGAAATGTTTTTTGTTGTTTTTTTTTCAGTGGGAAGAGCAAGCTATACATGTCCCCAAAAGAGGAGTGAAGTGAAAAACTTGAGGAAAGTCACTGTCAAATTTAAATAAACTGCACAACACTTTGGGTCCCCAGCATTTTTCTTCAGATCCCACCAGTCTGTTTATCTGGCAAATAGCGGGCTTTCTGTCCAATCTGCCCCAGAGACCTCCGGGATTTAGGCATTCCCTAAGAAGCCTGTCTTTACTCATCTTCGATCAATCAGCACTATTCCCCTTGGTGAGCTCAGCCCCACCCCTCCCTCTGCCTTAACGATCACCTTAAGAGAATATTTCCCAAACCTCTGCTTTCCAGCCCACTCTCCTGAGCTATAGGCCCAAACATCCAACAGCCTGTTCAGACACTCCCTCTAGATTTCCCACTTCATCCTTTCGATTCGCCCTTCTTCCTTTCCTCATGCTTCCTCTGCCTAGAAATCATGGCCTGCCTTTGAACAATTGTTCATCTATTTAGACAATTCAAAGACTTCTTACCTCCTTCCTGCTTCAAAAACGTTTCCTGTTTCCTCACCTCCTCCTGCTGCTCCTTCCCTTCCCCTGGGTAGACGTGGTTACTCCCCTTTTGCACCCAACGAAACCTTTACTGATGTCTACTGTGGCACATTCAACAGCAGTCATAGCACACGGGCGTTTAACTTACCTGCTGTATTCAACCACATACACTTCGCAAAAACAAAACAAAACAGCTCTGAAGATCGTCATCCGCTCCAGAATTCATGTGACATAGGAGCCATTATGCTCCTCATAATGTGAGCATTCCATCGTGTCAGAGTCTACTTTCTGTGCTGTTAGAGCAGTCATTTTGTCCCCCAGGGAACAGTTCACAGTGTCTGAAGATATTTTGGTTGTCACAACTGGGATGGGGAGGTGTTACTAATATCAAATGGGTAGAGGCCAGGGATGTTACTAAGCATTCTACAATACACTGGATAACCCTCTACAACAAATACTTTTTCAACCCAAAATCTGTATAATCTTTCTAAAAAATAAATTGGGTCATATCATTCCCTTGATTAAACTCCTCCATAGCTTGCCACTGGAACTGGAATAAAATCCAACTTCCTGGCCATGGTCTAGTACAGGGGTGGGCAAACTTTTTGACTCGAGGGCCACAATGGGTTCTTAAACTGGACTGGAGGGCCGGAACAAAAGCATGGATGGAGTGTTTGTGTGAACTAATATAAATTCAAAGTAAACATCATTACATAAAAGGGTATGGTCTTTTTTTTCAATAGTTTTATTCATTTCAAACGGGCCGGATTCGGCCCGCGGGCCGTAGTCTGCCCATGGCTGGTCTAGTAGGTCCTCTGTAATCTGGCCCCTGCCTACCTCTCTGACCTCTCCCTCTTCAACTTCCCTCTCAATCACTAAATCTAGTCAAAGTGGTCTTCTATCCAAACATACCAAGTTTGTGCCCAAACACACCAGAGATTCTCTGGATCTCCGCACTTGTTATTGCTACTACTGGGAATGTTCTCCAGTGTACGTGTCCTCTCAGATGTTATCCATCTCCTCAAAGAGGTAGGTATTCCCTAAACATTGTAACATGAGTAGCCACCACTGCCATCAACACAACTACCAGTTATAGACACTCATTATTCTATTTAACTTTTAAAAATCTGATATTCTGCATGTTTACTGTTTATTTCCCCCTACTAGAATGTAAGCTCCTTGAGAACAAGGATATTTCTAGTGTCTAGTAATAAATGTTTAATAGATATTTGCTTGACTACAACAGGGCCCCCAAAACTCAAGCAAACTACTTCATCTGGTAATGAACTAAACAGAGATTTGTTTCCAATACTGGAGGAAAAACTGATGGACTGTTGAGATAAGGAGATGTTGGAATTCAATGTAATGTTACCCTATGGGATTTTTCAATGTTTTTTTTTTTAAATATATTTTTATTGATTTCAGAGATAAAGGGAAAGGGGGAGAGAGAGAGAAAGGGAGAGAGAGAGATATATATTAAAACATCAATGATGAGAGAGAATTATTGATCAGCTGCCTCCTGCATGCCTCCTACTAGGGATTGAGACCTCAACCCAGGTATGTGCCCTGACTGCGAATTGAACATTGACCTCCTGGTTCATAGGTCGACACTCAACCTCTGAGCCACGTGGGCCTGGCCCAATGTAGTTTTGAAGATACTGAGGGTTTGTGTTTTGTTTTTTTTCACTTAATCTGCTGACTTTAGATATATATTATTCTGCCCTTGCTTATGTCAGTCTTCTATTAAACTGTAAACACTTTAATGTACTATTTTACTGACTTATGTCAGTCCTATGCCAGTACCACGTTGTCTTACCATTCTTTGAAGTAAGTTTTGAAACAGGGGTGTGTACATCCTCCAACTTTGCAAGCAATCTCATTTAACGCTTAATGAAACTCTGGGTCCTACACATTATCTCCATTTTACAAATGAGGAAACTAAAGAAACTTAAAGAAGTTTGGCTTTCCCACAGGCACACAATATTTGGTGGTTGCCCCAGGATTCATACTCAGCTCTATATAAAGCTGACCTGTTGGCTATGTTCCTATAATCTCGTCCCAATCTACCTTCCAGACTTAATTTATGCTAATCCCCCAATGTACCCTAAAATAAATACCTCCAATGCTTTTCTGCGGAGTGCCTTGCTCTCCATCTGTTTCCAATTCACAAAATCTTCACCTTAGCAAAGCAGTCCCTCTTTTCACTCTATTTCCTTAGCACTACAAGGTTTTTATTCCACATTACATCTTGTAATAAAGATATCTGTGTATATGTATTATTTCCCTTCCTAGGCTAAGAATAAGGACAGTGTCTCATTCAACTTTGTATATCCCCAAAGCCCTAATACCTTTTACATGATAGGTACTAACTGAGTGCTTTGAATGAGTAAATGAATTCTGACATTACCCTATCAAAGCAGGCAATAAGAATGCATAGGTGTGTGTTAGGGTTGGGATTATGGTGTTGAGGTCCTGGCAAGGTTATAGGAATGAATACCTAGGGAATATCCTAATCCTGAGAGTGTGATAAAAGAAGGAAGACATGCCTGGCTGGTGTGGCGAGGTGGTTGATCATCAACCTATGAACCAGGAGTTCACGGTTTGAATCCTGGTCAGGGCACATTCCCTGGTTACAGGCTCAGTCCCCAGTGTGGGGCATGCAGGAGGCAACCTATCAATGATTCTCTCTCATCATTGATGTTTCTATCTCTCTTTCCCTCTCCCTTCCTTTTTGAAATCAATAAAAATATATTGGGGGAAACAAAACAAGAAAAGAAGGAAGACATGAGACAGGGTGTGGTAGACCGGCAGGCCTGAACAGGGAGCTGATGTTAATCACTCTCTTGACAAGAGAGAAACCTCCAATTGTGAGGTGGTGTGTGTGCAGACAAGTAATACTTGCCAGTGAATAGGAATTAAGATAAAAACAAGTGACTTAAGATGCCCCAAACTGAGTTTATTGTGGTATAGACCAGATGATAACAAATAACTCAAGTATATTTAAGTAAAGTCTGATATAACTGGAATATCTAAAATATAATGCCAGGGCAAAATGCTGCTTGCTCTAGGGTTAAAAGTCCCCAACAGAAAATACAAACATGAGATACTTATCTTGAAAATGCCAAGAAATAGAACAGTGTGCCAATCCTCACAACCTCCCCAGGTTCCCAACCACTTCTCTGACTTGCCCCTTCTTGCACCACCTCAAGTCATTAACACCTCTCCATTTTTTAGACCAAATTGCTGGACAAGAAGTCTTTCAAAATAAGGTGCCATGCTTCTCCTTGGTGCCATCTGGTTCAAGTCAAAAGGTATAACTTTTGCACAAAGGAAACTGTTAGGACTTTAGGCTCTGGAAAGACTGACACCGAGGCCTCTTGCCGCACACTGAAGCTAGAACCCCAACTCTAGAAGCTGCCTGTGGCTAACCTCTCAGAAATGAGTCACATCATATAGGAGTTCCCATGCTGCGTAGAAGCTTTACTTGGACAATGAGGTTTAATGTTGGCAATAAACGGGCATCAGCAGGGTAATTTTATCAGCCACCCCTTTTCTGGGCATCCAGTGAGAATCTGGCTCAGCTATTCAATCCCCACCATCTACTTTCTCTTCCAGCTGCCTCTTATCCAGCTGGCAGGAGCTCCCAAGAAACGTGATATAGTAGGCGCTGCCGTAAACTGGCTGCTTGTTGGGGTTGGAATAGACCTGTTCAGGTTTGAGGGACGTGAAAGGGTTGGCTCCATAGGCAATGATGTGTATATCCAGGTCCACCAGAATCTGCAAAGAGGCTGCCAACTCCTGGTGGCTAAGGGAGACAGAAGAAAAATTGCTCTGCTGATGAGAGAGATAGGAGAGAAAGTGCTCAGAACTTGACATTTCTGGGCTCATCAAGCCCCCAAATTACCTCAGGCTGGAGTAGGCAAAGGCTATCCTTCCCTCCCAGATGTCTCACTAATTACCAACTTACTAACACAGGCCTTTGTTTCAAGGGGACGAGAAAGCCAAGTGTGAGAAGAAAGAAAATCCTCACCAGAAGGCAAAAGATGAGCAAAGGAGAGAGAAATTAGCTCATCTCTATAAATAGAGGCCTGAGTGAGTCAGGGAGGTATCACAAATAGGAAGAGATCCAAACCTGTAAACAGTCATCAATGTAGGGATTTCATAATCTCGAAGTAGCAGAAGGGTGGGCAGCCAAGCCTCCATCAAGTCTGGGGAAGCGTGAAAACCTATGGAATAGAGAGGGGAAAGGCTGAGGTAGATACTTCTCTGATTATGTCCATCCTAACCTTCACCTCGCTCACTGCTAATGCTCATTTACCACTATCACCCACCCCAGGTTCTTCAATGGAAAATTCTGAACCCAGGTGTAGCTCATAAGGCTAACGACCAACAAGGTCATCATCATATTGTGTTTAACCTGACTTATGAATGTGGCTCCAAAGATAGAAAATACGAGTCAGAATAGAAAATTCCCAGAGGACCCACCCAGTATTCCCCTGAACCACTCTTACCTGGATGGAATGCCACCACCAAATCTGGATGGGCTGTCCGCCCAGACTCTACCTGCTCCTCCCAGAAGTTATGGTAGAGGCCCCTATGGCCACTAAGCTGAACTGTGCCAGGTTCCACAGGTGAAGTTGAGGTGCTCTGTGAAAAGCCAGTAGCGACGTCTACACCCACCATTATTATACGGAGGCCAAGGTGTCCAGGAAACATGTAACCAAGCTCATCATAGTCCCCGGGGCGCGTGAGAAATGTCTCCGCGTGGGAAGCACCAACTACATGCACTGTGCTCCCTCCGATCTTCTTCACATTTATTCCCAAGGCCCGAAGCCCCAAGCCCAGGGTCAAAGGCCGTGACAGGACATCTGTCAGGAGTCGCTTCAAAGAGCCCTGCAGGACATCTGGGTCTGGCCTCGGCCTCCCTGCACTGGCCCACAGGGTGGTCATGGCATGACTACCTAGCACAGCAGCCAGTATAGCATCTAGCTGTAGGTGCCGCATTGAAAACCAGGTGTCCCAGCCCTGTACAACTTCCGGAAGCCATGGCCAGGGTCCTGCGGGTAGGACAAAATCTCCTGCAGGAAAGAAGGAACAACAAAGAAGTGACCTAATTCTTCTCTGGCTTCAATGTTCCGTCTAGGTTCATTCTCCCAACCTGTGACCAGGGAGGCCTCACCACCCTGCCCCTCTCCGTTCTTCATTTTCCCCTCATAACAACATGCTTTCAACTTTGACCATTATGGCAGAGTTCCCCAACACCACCGCTCCACCTGTGACCAGAAGCCATTCCATGAGACGGTCCACAGCTACAAGACGCAGCTCTTGACAAACCTTCCTGTGGGCGGGCCAATCTGACCTCTGGCACTCTGGACCACAGTAATAGACATTTCTGCACCTGAGAGAATAAGCCCCAGAAATACTGGTTCCTATATTTCAAAGGTGATTGGGAGAATATCTGGGGAAGAGAATTGATATTCCTGTTCTTAGGAAAAAAAATTACTGGGTAAGGAAGGCAGGGAGAGGAATGACAGCTATTTGCAACCAAATTTGGGGACTACATTAGAAGGGGAGGCGGGAGAGATTGGGAATGTAGTTTTTCTCTTGGGTCAGAGTAACACCTCAGTCTCTATCTGCAACAACTCACTTTTTACATCCCTTAAAGAAAAAAATAACTCCAGAAGTTTGTGGCTGCCCTCTTACCATGCGTATGTCTCAACCCTAACCTGCCCAGAACAGATTGTCGTCTTACCTCTCAAGTTCTCAAGAGGAAGAAGGTAGAATAGTACTGGGATCTCTGTGTGACTTCCCCATAGCACCAAAACAAGCAGGAGCCCAACCCTTTTCTAATCTGTCTGTGGCCTGGATCACATAGAATGAGGAGGAGGCCTTATGTTTTTGTGAAAACGCTGACCTTTCCTCCTACAATGAGGTCTTAGAACAGGGTCGTTTCTGGATCTCTCCCCTATTTGCCCCTGATGAGTCACCTCTTGCAGTGCCGGAGGACCGTGGAGTCTGAAAGGCCATTGGGGAGCGCTCTGCAGTGAGCACAGAATCGGAACGTGTCCTCCATCTTCTGGAACATTTCTCGAGGGCATCGAAATCCAAAGCCTGATACAGGAGTATCCCCATCTATCACCAACCTGCAGAGACAGCATGCAACGGTACAGCAACAGGGAAAAGAGTATCTCCAAAGTCTCTCAGGACCCCTCCTTTGCCTCCTACATGTTGTATTTCTACCTACTCCCATCATTTTGACTTAATAATAATATATATATATTTTAATATGCACTTTTATTTTCATTTTCTTTTTTATTGACTTTTATAGAGAGAAAGACAGAGATAGAAACATCAATGTGAGAGAAACATCGATTGGCTGCCTCCTGCACACATCCTGACTGGGGATTGAACCCCTGGTATGTTCCGTGACTGGGAATTGAACCTGTTACTTTTTGGTGTATGGGACAATGCTCCAGCCTAATGAGCCACACCAACCATGGCACAAATTATATTTTTTAATTTCTATAGTAATGAACTGGCAAAAGTCAGGATGAGAAAAATCCCTTGTTGCAAATACTTCATTATTCCCAAGTTATACTCCCTTTCCACCTTTTGAAATCGTTTCTAAGGGTGACTACAAATGGCTCTTCCACAGAGCTAGTCACTCACTTGTATTCTTCATAGCTTTTCATGTTCAGCTTCTGAAGAATCAGCTGGGATAGGCCAGGAACATTATTGTCCAAGGAGTAGAAGCCAAGTGCATCAATGCTAGGGCCAGGTTTTGAGAGGGTCAAAGGCACAGGGGTCACAGCTGTGGGAGGGGTCACAGCTGCAGGCTGGGTCACAGCTGTGGGAGCCACTGATGAGGACGATTTCTTGTGCCTTCGTCGCCGGGGCCGTGGAGCCATGGCCTGTCCACTGATACCTGGGGACTATATGTAGACAAGATATAGAATGGAATTTTGCAAGCTGGATGATGTGTTTTCATACATTTGACCTTTCACTTCTCATTCTAGTCTTTCAGACCCAGGTATCAGTAAGACTTATTTCTGATCTACTGATTATTGATCACTACAAAGAAAAACAAAGGGGGAAATATTACATATGATGTTCTATATCTCTATATAAAAGCCTAAGTGACTGTTCGACTGTTTGACTGGTAGCTATGATGCACCCTGACCACCAGGGGGCAGATTCTCAATGCATAGGCATGGAAACATGGAACAGACTGATGAATCTCAGAGGGAAGTGGGGGGAGGGCGAGAAGAGATTAACCAAAGATCTTATATAAATATTAGAGGCCCGCCCTAACCAGTTTGGCTCAGTGGATAGAGTGTCAGCCTGCGGACTCAAGGGTCCCAGGTTTGATTCCGGTCAAAGGCATGGCATGTACCTTGGTTGCGGGCACATCCCCAGTGGGGAGTGTGCAGGAGGCAGCTGATCGATGTTTCTCTCTCATCAATGTTTCTAACTTTCCCTCTCCCTTCCTCTCTGTAAAAAAATCAATAAAATATATTAAAAACAAAAACAAAAACAGCAACTCTTACAGTATGTGGCAGAGTGCAAGCTATGTGCTGGGCAAGTGCTGAGTCCCTTTATTCATTAAAAAAAAAAAAAATACTAGAGGCCCGGTGCATGTATTTGTGCACTGGTGGGTTCCCTCAGCCTGGCCTGTGGGGATCTGGCTGAAATTGGCAGTCCAACATCCCCCGAGGGGACCCAGATTGGGAGAGGGTGCACGAATCTGTGCACCAGTCCTCTAGTAAAATATAAATATGTCTGTAAGTAATGCATAGAAAAAGGTCTGGAAGGGCTCCTCTAAAACCAATAACAGTGATTAACTGGGGGGAAGAGGCTCTAGGATAGGAACTGAGTTGATCAAAGGCAACTTTAGACTTAAAGGCAACTTTTGACTTTTTGATACAAAAAATATCTATAATAATAAGAGCGCAATATGCTAATTAGACCAGACATCCTTCCGGATGACCTTCCAGATGAAGCTGGGGCTGCGAGGGAAGCTTGGGTCCCAGGTGCCAGAGGGAAGCTGGTGCTGGCAGCCGGGGGAAGGAAGGCCTACTCTTGCATGAATTTCATGCACCAGGCCTCTAGTATTCATATATGAGTGTATTTCAAAAAATCAACTTAGAAGAAAAAGCAACAGAAGTTTGGGCTGTCACAAACTACCATCTAATTGAATAAGTCAATCTAATTTAGTTGGGAAAGTAAAACATTCATTTTAAAAGGCCTGTCATCACATTTATAGGCAATAAATCAAGACATGAAAATTAAATGATCACCAGAATGCTAAGAGTTACATAGTTAACCCAAGTAATGCAAGTTATGAGAAAAATTTCTTAAAGAGATGAGTTTGTATTTTTTTTATAATATATTTTTATTGATTTCAGAGAGGAAGGGAGAGGGAGAGAGAGATAGAAACATCAATGACGAGAGAGAATCATTCATCAGCTGCCTCCTGCACACCCCAACTGGGGATAGAGCCCACAACCTGGGCATGTGCCTTGACGGGGAATTGAACGATGACCTCTTGGTTCATAGGTCAACACTCAACCACTGAGGCACGCCAGCTGGGCAAGAGGTGAGTTTTGAAGTAGAACTAACCCTGCAACCACACCCATACCTACACCAACACCCACCCCCTACCCAGCAGGAACTCTGTGATGGCCGCCCTCCTTGGCTTACCATTCCTTCTCCGAGTGCCGAGTAAACCAAAAGAACTACATTGACAAAAATAAAATCATCCATTCATTAAACAAATATTTATTTATAAACATATAAAATAATGTACAAAATAATATAATGAAAAAACTTGTGAAAAATATATGTAACATCTAGATATCTTATAGAGGGATTAAATGTAAACTATAGTATAAGGCAATATATATATATATATATATATATATATATATATATATACTGTTTTGTTCAAAATTGGGAAATCTCTGAAATTGAATAAAAAAGTAAAACAGAGAGACATACTTTTTGAAAAAATAAAATTGTATTGATATCCTATAAGAAAAGTGAAACTAAAGCACTAATAGGAAATCAGAAGAAGTGAGTTTCTTCAAGGAAGACTTTACAAAGCAGGGAGCAAAAAAATAAAATAAAAAGCAGGGAGCAGTTGGAATAGACCAGCAATTTTCAACCGGTATGCCACAAGGATTTTTAAAACATGCAATACTGGACTATTTAGTCAAGTGCACTAACCTCTCTTCCGTTAGATTGCCAATTTTAAAAATAACAACCGCCCTGACCAGTTTGGCTCAGTGGATAGAGCATCGGCCTGCAGACTGAAGGGTCCTGGGTTCGATTCCGGTCGGGGGCATGTACCTTGGTTGCGGACACATCCCCAGTAAGGGGTGTGCAGGAGGCAGCTGATCGGTGTTTCTCTCTCGTCGATGTTTCTAACTCTCTATCCCTCTCCCTTCCTCTCTGTAAAAAATCAATAATATATATATATTTTTAAAAATGACAACAACCAATACAAGAGACATCCAGTGTGGATGAATCAAAATCATATATTTTTTATCAGATCGGCAAATATATTTTTTGATGTGCTGCAGAATTTTAGTAATTAGTTTATGTGTGTCATGAGATTAAAAAGGTTGAAATTGCTACAAGAGTAGCAATGAAAGATGGTAATACTTTGTATTAACATGAAAGATGGTAATACTTTGAATACATGGAGATAGAAAAAAAGGATTTCTGAACACAGAGAAGAGCATGAGCATAGAAATGTAGATGGGAACATTCTGTGGAATTAATGAAATAGAATGGATTGAGCTTGATGACTGAGTCTAAAGACCTAAACCTAAGAGCTAAAATTACAGTCTTATAACAACACATAGGGGGAAAACTTCATGATATTGGATTTGGCAATTTCGTGGATAAAGCACCGAAAGTACAGGCAACAAAAGAAAAACAGATAAATTGGACTACATCAAAATTAAAAACTTTTGTGCAGCAAAGGACAGAATGAAATAGAAATCCATAGAATGGGAGAAAGTGTTTGCAAATCACATTCCTGATAAGAGATGAATAGCCTGAACATGTGAAGAACTTCTAAGACTCAACACCACCAAACAACCCAATTCAAAAATGGGCAAAAGATCTGACCAGACATTTCTCCAAAGAAAACACAGAAACTGCCAAAATGCACATGAAAAGATGTTCAATATCACTAATGTTGACAAAAGAATGTCCAGCCTAAGAAAAAATTTTTATGAGTTTACTGGGGGGGGGGGGGGGGGGTTTATTTGAACCAATTTGAGGACAATTGCCAGAAAGCAAACTCTTAACAGATAGAAATAAAATGCTCCAGAGAATGACAGTTTTGCAGCTTATTTTATACATTAGAATAAAATAAAGGAAGAGATAGAGGAAGGTTTACATGAAATCCACCAGTGGTGATAGGGGAGGGGCACATAATAGGAACAGAATCATCGTTGTTTAGTATTATTCACCTTACTAACTCTAGGTAAGAGGTTTTCTTACAGAACCTGCGAATGCAGTGTGAAAAAGGAAAACGGTCGTAAGATAAATCGACCTTGAAGTCCAGGTGGCCCCATCACTCAGAAAGAAGATACATTCTGAGAGCAGACCAAGGACAGAGACAAACGCTGAGAGCTAACCTTTTCAGGACAATGCTAGGGAGCAGACCCTGGGAACTCACTTAGTTGTTAGATTTCCACCCTCCATCCTTTAACCTTATATAACACTGACTTGAGCGTCTTTTCAGGGCGTTACACCTGCCGCTCTCTCAGATTGTCGGCTGATTAAATAAACGCATCATAAAGACTCAACTCAACCCGGTCTCTACTGGACTCCGGTAGCAGCAGGCAGCACAGACCCTTTCATTTCCAGTTTCAGTGGTAGATTAAGGGGGAGGAAGAAAGCAAAATATAGAAATCTCTGGAATTGAATAAAAAAGTAAAACAGAGAGACATACTTAAAAAAAATTGTATTGATTTCAGAGAGGAATGGAGAGGGAGAGATAGAAACATCAATGATGAGAGAAAATCATTGATCAGCTGCTTCCTGCATGCCCCTTACTGGGGATTGAGCTGGCAACCAGGGCATGTGCCCTGATCAGGAATCAAACTGTGAACTCCTGGTTCATAGGTCAATGCTTACCCCCCTGGCCGCACCAGCCGGGCGAGACAAATCTCTTTTACATAGGTGGGTACAGGATCATTAATAATTAATATTTACAGTACATAGAGATGGTATTCAGGAAAGTGAGGTAATGATGGGTTCTCTGGTCTCCTGCTCTGGTGCAGTGGGTGTGCCCTCGGGGGTCTGGAACAGACCATTACTCTGACATTACAGAGGTATGTTATTTTAGATGCAAAAAGACGACAGGCTCACTTTGTCAAGGAAGACTGACCTTTGTCAAGGAAACCACAGGTCTAGGACATGCCTACCAGCATAACCCACTGTTAGTTAGAAATTTTTATGTTCAGACTATCCTATGTGGTTGGTTACTTTTGGTCTCTGAGTTTGCAAAGCCCACCATACTGTTCTCTCCTGAGTTTGTCAGGTTTGGTACGTGGCCCCTTTTTCATCTACGCTAATCAGGAAAATGCAAATCAAAACCACGAGATACCACTTCACACCCTTTAGGATGACTATTATAAAGAAAACCATAGAAAATAACAAGTGTTGGTGAGGTGTGGAAAAACTGGAACATTTGTGCACTGATAGGAGGAATGTAAAATAGTACAGTCACTATGGAAAACAGCATGGCGGCTCTGCAAAAAGTTAAACACATAGTAACTACTATATGACCCAGCAATATCACTCTTAGTATATACTCAAAATAATTGGAAACAGGTACTTAAACAATGCTTATACATAAATGTTCATAGTACCACTATTCACAATATCTCAAAAGTATAAAACCCCAAACGTCCACCAACAGATGAATGAATAATGTGAAAAAAGTGGGGGAGAGGGTTCTATGGAAATTAACCTCACAGGGTGATCTGATCATAAATTCCTAACTGGGTAGGTCACTACAGGCATACAACTTTTTAGGAAAAGAGTTATCTTTGCCTTGCGCAGTTGGTGTGGCTCAGTGGTTGAGTGCCAACCTATGAACCAGGAGGTCACGGTTCAATTCCAGTCAGGGCACATGCCTGGGTTGTGAACTCGATCCCCAGGAGGGGGCATGCTGATCGGGGAATTCTCTCTCCTCATTGATGCTTCTCTCTCTCCCTCTCCCTTCTTCTCAGAAATCAATAAAAAAATATTTTTAAAAAAGGATTTATCTTTGCCTTAAGGAAGCTCTGTCCATTGTTTCTATGCACCTAGGTTAACACACCTATGAAATAAGCCTTACCACCTCATAAGAGCACATAATCTTGTTAACTATCCTGTAATCCAATCCCCATCTTGCTTTTTTCCCATCTCCATGTAATCTTCCTTAATTGCCTCCTTAATTTCAGTTGCAAAACTGTTATTCTCCAGAGCTTTTGAGATCTTGTTCCTCAGTTTGGCTCAAATAAACTCATAACTGTGACAGGTTTGGACGTTTCTTACTTTGACAATAAATTGGGTTATGTATATAATAGAATATTATTCAGACATAAAAAGAAATGAAGTACTGATATATGCTACATGGATGAACCTCAAAAAGATTATGCTAGTGAAAGAAGCCAGACATAAAAGGTCACGCTATATGATTACATTTATATAAAATATCAAGAATAGATAAATTCAGTCCTGGCCAGTGTGGCTCAGTGGCTAAAGTGTTGGCCCCCATGCACCGAAGGGTTGGGGGTTTGACTCCCAGCCAAGGGCACATATCTGGGTTGCAGGCTCAATCTCCAGCCCCAGTTGGGACACTTGTGGGAGGCAACCAACCAGTGTCTCTCTCACATCAATGTTTTTCTCTGTCTCTCTCCCCCCTCTCCTTTCCTTCCACTCTCTCTAAAAATCAGTAGGAAAAAATATTCTCAGGTGAGGATTAACAACAACAAAATTTTAAGAATAGGTAAATCCAGAAAAAGAAAGCAAATTGCAGTGGCAGAGTGGAAGGGGGCATGGGGAGTATGCTTAATGGATATGGGGTTTCCCTTTGGGGTCGATGAAACTGTTTCAGAACTAAACAGAGGCTGTGGTTACACAACAATATGAATGTACTAAATGCCATTTAATTGCTCACTTTAAAAGGATTAATTTTGTTTTGTGAATTTCACCTCAATTTTTAAAAAAGGTATCCATAGAGATTGAGAAACTAAAACATTATTACCCCCCAGATTAATTGTCTCCAGGCACAGGGAAATATGAGAGGATAAAAATACTGACAGTGGTTGGTTTGAATGAGGTAACTAACTATTAAAGTTCAAACCAGGGATCATGTTTTGTTACAAAAATGGTCTGACATTTAATCCTTCCAGACCAAATTTGTTAGGAAAAAAATCTCCAGGTCATCATTCAGCTGAGATGTAGGTAGCAGAACAAACAAATAAAAAACTTCCCAGAATCATCTAGCTAATATCCATTATCTTGCGAACCCTTCCTCAGGTTAATGGAGGAACTAATTTATATTTTCCTTTGTATTTTCTTTCTCCTCATCCTTTCATTCCATCCCTTTAAGCTCTCCCTTTGACCCAGAGATGAATGGATGATTTCAGAGTCTACAGAACAGATAGCTAATCTCATCTGCATAACCTATCTTCTAAAATCCTACCAATAAAGAAGAAATTAGACCTAAGGATAGATTATTTTAGGACTTAAGAGTCATAGCCCTTTACTAAAGGTAAATGGAATTGCCTTCATGTCTTCACATCTTTGGATCCTAACTAGCTTAACTCTTCCCTACACTATATATATATTTGATTTTTTACAGAGAGGAAGGGAGAGGGATAGAGAGTTAGAAACATCGATGAGAGAGAAACATCGATCAGCTGCCTCCTGCACACCCTACTGGGGAAGTGCCCGCGACCAAGGTACATGCCCTTGACCGGAATCGAACCTGGGACACTTCAGTCTGCAGGCCGACACTCTATCCACTGAGCCAAACTGGTCAGGGCTTCCCTGCACTTTTTTATCCTCACCCTAGGATATGTTTATTGATTTTAAAGAGAGAGGTAGGAAAAGACAGATAGATAGATAGATAGATAGATAGATAGATAGATAGATAGATAGATAGACAGACTGACAGACAGACAGACAGACAGACAGACATTGACCAGAGTAACATCAATTGGCACCAGGAATCAAACCCACAACCAAGATATGTGAAACTGACCGGAATCCAGCCTGCAACCTTCTGGTGTAGGCGACAACACTCCACCCAACTGAGCCACACTGGCCAGGGCCCCTCCACTTTTAAAGACCACACACTTCCATCACATTTCTATAAAACCATTGCATTTCTAGAAGCAGCATTCATCTGCTCTCTCTACCCAGCCCCCTCAGGCAAGATAAGCCTTGAGAGAATGAGCTCATCTTTTGTTTATAGGTAGGGAGGAAAAGTATCTTTGAGACAACTCAAGAGTCTTAAAATCACAGAAATAACAATAAATACCTTCCTGATGTTCAATAAAGAACCTTTATGCTACAATGGAAGCCAAATAAGACCAGGGAGGTACTTATCTGCCTTTGCAAAGAGAGGTCTTCCTCCAATAAGAGGTTAACTCTTGGCTCTCTGGGGGTTGGTGGAACTGCCTGGAAGTCAAGGGATTACACAGCTTGGGGAGGAGGAGTGGTGCTGGTGAAACCCCTGCTGCCATAGTTTCTTGTGATTACAGCAGATTCGTGATACAGAGGAATTAAATAAGGGGCCTGGTCTCTGCACTTGCACCTACAAACTCGAACTCATGTGTGAGTTGGTGTGTCCCAGCCCCAGAATCCTCCCCGTTCATGTTGTTGGGGCAGGGACAGTTACTGAGAGAAAGGCAAAAAAACAGAGGGGGCCAGGGAGACGTTGGAAAGAATTACAGCAAGCTTTCAGCATTTTCCAGAGTTCAGTCTACTCCACTGAGAAAGGGAACCATTTAAACTTTTTTCTGTCTCCAGTGACTTGGGCTCTAATTTATTCCCAGTTTATATGAGAGAAAACACCAAGGAATGGAGAGAAGACAAACTGGGTGGCCTCTATCCTTCACCACCAACCCCCCTAAATTAGTAGTTTATTCCCAGACCTAGTTCTCCCATCTTTTCCCCTCCTTACCACAAAAAGCCTTACGTCTCACCTTCAGACCAGGAAGGCCCATTTAATTTTCTGTAATTCACCAGCAAATATAAAATGCCCTTGGAGAGGTAGGGAGGAGAAGGGGAGTGAAGTTAGTCACTGGGGAGCCTCAAAAAGGGCCGAGAAAAAGAAAGAGAAAAGGAGAAATACATTGGGAGCATTGCTATTATGACCACATTCAGCTGCTTGAGCAGTGATTAACACTCCCTGAGGTGCTAATGCTTTGGTCAACTATAAACTAAGCCAGCAAACTGGTTGATGAAAAAGTTACTTACCTTGCTAAGCCCTCAGCTTCCTTCTTCTCTATTTCTTCCAAGTGAAGTGAGTTTGACCTCCTCAGATCCAGGTTGTGGTTGACTCGAAGCTGTCCCTTCCTATCACTTTCCTTGCCAACTGCTGAAATGCTGTGTCTCTGTAATTACGTGTGGCCTGCCAGCCAGACATGCTTAATTCTCACTAAGGAAGCAAGCAGGGACCTGGCCCTCTGCCTATCGACCTCTCTTTCTGACCTTCCTTTTCTGCCAAGAAGGCTCAGAACGCTGTCAACACTCCCATACTTGCCAAAGGCCAGGCAGGTTGAAGAAAGATGAAGCCTACTAGTTCCTGGACCTCTCTCACTAAGGCAGCATTCTGTTCTTAGAACACAGCATCAGGAAAAAACCCTTGGGATTAGTTCAGATATCAATATTTGGTTGGAAAGGCTAAGCACTAGCCCAGGGCAAAAGGAACCCTTTGGTTTCTAGATGTCAATATAGACCCAGGAGGAGTTCCCCCAAGCCCAAAGTATGTTTCAGCATAACACTGCTCAAACACAACCCAGCGATGACCAATCTAGGCTTAAGTACAATACCCAAGAAAAGCTCTGCCAGGGTAACTCAGTTGGTTGGAGTGTCCTCCAGATACACCAAGGTTGCAGGTTCGATCCCCAGTCAGGGCACATACAAGAATCAACCAATAAATGCATAAATAAGTGGAACAACAAATTTTTCTTTCTCTCTCTCTCTCTCTCTCTCTCTCTCTCTCTCTCTCTCTCCCTCCCTCTCTCTCTCTCTCTCATTTTCACCCCCTTTCTAAGATCAATAAATAAAAATTAAAATAATAATAACCAAGAAAGACAACAAATGGTCATTTGATGGTACAGAAGGAAATCAATTATAGGGGAAGTGATCAATAATTAATTTTTAAAATTCACTCTCCCTGAAAAGAGAGCAAGGCACTTTCTGAGTGAATGTCATCAGAGGCACTCCCCTGTTTATTTCAAAAGAGAAATATAGTAGTCCCCTTACTCACTGGGTATATTCCAAGACCCTCATTAGATGCCTGAAACCAACAGTTAATTTATAAATCAGGTACAGTAAGAGATTAACAGCAATAAAATAGAACAATTATAATATTACAACAAAAGTTATGTGAATGTGGCATTAAGTAAAATAGGGTTACTTGAACAAATACTGCAATATCTTTTTTTAAATATATTTTTTTTATTGATTTGAGAGGGATAGATAGAAACATCAATGATGAGAATCATTGATCAGCTGCCTCCTGCACGCCCCCCACTGGGGATGGAGCCCACAACCCAGGCATGTGCTCTTGACTGGAATCGAACCTGGGATCCTTCAGTCTGCAGGCCGACGCTCTATCCACTGAGCCGAACCGGCTAGGACAGTACTGCAATATCTTGATAGTCCATCTGATAACCAAGAAGAGAAGGCTAGGGAGGCCAGGGGATTGTCAAGGGCGGCGGGGTGGGGGTGGGATGGGGGGGGAAGGGCACATATGTAATACCCTTTGTAATATTTTAAGCAAAAAACAATAAAAAAAAAAAAGAAGAAGAAGAGAAGGCTATTAAGTGACTCATGGGAGTGATAGTGTGGATATGCTGGACAAAGGGATGATTCGTGTCCTGGGCAGGATGGAGCATGAGTTTTCATCATGCTACTCAGAATTGTGAGCAATCTAAAATTTATAAATTGTTTATTTTTGGAATTTTCCATGAATATTTTGGATCACAGTTCACTGAAACCATGGAAAGTGAGATCATGGATCGGGGGGTGGGGGGGTGGGAAGGGCTACTGTAAATATTAAAAACCAAAAACCAAAATATTAATAACTAAAAATGCATACTATTTTTAAAAATAAATCTTTATTGTTGAAAGTATTATACTAGTATATGTCCTCCTCCTTCCCCCATTGACCCCCTCCAGCCTGCCCCAGGCCTTGCACCATCCTATTGTCTCTGTCCATGGGTTATGCATATATGTATACAAGGTCTTTGGTTGATTACTTCCCACCCATCTGCCCTTCCTGCCTTCCCTCTGAGATTCCGCAGTCTGTTCCATGCTTCCATGTTTCTGGATCCACTCTGTTCATTAGTTTATTTTGTTAATTAGATTCCACATATGAGTGAGATCCTGTGATACTTGTCTTTCTCTGACTTATTTCACTTAGCATGATACACTCCAGGTTCCTACATGCTGTCTCAAAGGGTAAGAGATTCTTCTTGTTTACTGCTGCATAGTATTCCATGGTATAAATGTACCACAGCTTTTTTATCCACTCACCTACTGATGGGCACTTGGGCTGTTTCCAGATATTAGCTATTGTAAATTGTTAAAAATGCATACTATTTCAATGAACATAAAATAAGAATCAACTCAAACACCTTATTCCTTCCTTTAATGGATGCTGACTCAGGGAATTTATTTCCACATTCCTAGCTCCTTTTCACTTAGAGCTACAAAACTCTAGAACCTTGTGAGCGTGGTCCTATATGACTGTAAGATCATTCTGCTTATACCTGACCCCAGCTATGTCACTTACCTGTCACTGTGAACATGACTGGGGAACAATCCACTTACAATGAAGACCTGGAATGTGGAAAATCAAATCTACATATGAACAGACTCTGAGAATGGATTTAAAAAACAAGCAATCAAAACAAAAAACCCAAATGGTAGCAAGCACAAACTACAGCAGGGAAGGTGGAAGAGTTAAGGACACAACAAAATGTTACATAACATTATGTAGAACAGGTGCGGACAAAAGAACACCAGTTGCAATGGACAAAAATCCTGAAAAAAATAGGGGTGATTAATTTTAAGCAAAGGTTTCAGGCCAATTTAAAATGTTACTGGCAGAACATTTAAAGTTCTGTTAATAATGCCTGAACTGAAGAAGGTCCAAGAAGTCAGAGATTATCTTTTTTTAATTCAGAAGAATCATCTTTGAATGTAAAGGGAGATCATATATAGAAAAAATTTGATATTGAAAAGTAGCTTACATTTTATCATCACTACGACTTGCTCTGGTAGATACAATTTGCATTCATCATGGGATAGATATAATATCCTTTACATTGAATTTATTGGGGATTAGGATGAGGGATATATATATTTTTTTAACTTAAAAATACTTCTATTTATGAAGAAAGACTAGAAAGAGGTAGGAAGTGGTCTGTGGGGCACAGGGTGATACAGTAAAACCTTAATATAATGGACTAATTAGGGCGAGGGGGTGTCCCATTAAGCCAAAAGTCCACTATATAAGAAAGTAGGTTTTCCAATGCATATGTTAAAAAATTGACAAATTGGCCCTGACTGGTTTGGCTCAATGGATAGAGCGTCAGCCTGCGGACTCAAGGGTCCCGGGTTCAATTCCGGTCAAGGGCATATTGCCTTGGTTGCGGGCACATACCCAGTGGGGAGTGTGCAGGAGGCAGCTGATCAATCTTTCTCTCTCATTAATGTTTCTAACTCTCTATCCCTCTCCATTCCTCTCTGTAAAAAACCAATAACACATATTTTTAAAAAATTGACAAATTGGTTAGTTTACCTCTTTTTACTTATGTAAGCATGTTTGTGTAATTAAAATTAAGTACGCATGAAAAGTTTAATTTCACAGAAAAGCTGTCTATATGTATTGCTGTAATTTTAAATTTATATGAATAAGTCTAGTAAATGTGTGCATTCACCAGTCACCACGAGTGAACAAATGCACAAGGCTGGGGCGTGGCTTAGCATACATGGGAACATTGGCTGGCACACATTCAAACTGCTGCAGAACGTCACGCCACAGGACAACAGAACCAATTACCTCAAGAGATGTGGTGTGAGCACATGCTAATCATTCCATGACCATTGTTCATGAGCAGTGACTCTTGGATTTAAATATGTAGACTATAGTTGTAGACATTTAATAATTATTTATGTCAGCAAAATTACTAGTGTCTTATCCAACATATGGCTATTTGCTAAAATTTGTTAAAAATAACAGTGAATTAATGTAAAAAATAACCTATTAATTTAACTATAAGCAAATCTTGGTTACAAGTATTTTACAATGAACAGGGTGCTAATTTTTATATATGACATACAGATCAGAAATGTTCTCCGTTAAACTCAGTCTGTTAAATCAAGGTCCACAAAATTGAGGGTTTACTGCAGTGGTTCTCAACCTCCTGGCCCTTTAAATACAATTCCTCATGTTGTGACCCAACCATAAAATTATTTTCGTTGCTACTTCATAACTGTAATTTTGCTACTGTTATGAATCGTAATGTAAATATCTCTTATGCAGGACGGTCTTAGGCGACCCCTGTGAAAGGGTCGTTCAACTGCTAAAGGGGTCGCGACCCACAGGTTGAGAACCGCTGGTTTACTGTAATCTACCACTCTTCATGTATACCAGTTTTTCTGAGTTCCATTCCTTTCTCTTATTTTCTCCTTTTTAATTAAAAAAATAAATTGATTTCAGAGAGGAATGGAGAGGGAGAGAGACATCAATGGTGAGATTCATTGAATGGCTGCTTCCTGCACGCCCCCTACTGGGGATCAAGCCCACAACCTGGGCATATGCCCTTGACTGGAATTGAACCAGGGACCCTTCAATCTGCAGGCCGATGCTCTCCCCACTGAGCTAAACCAGTTAGGGCTCCTTTTTAATTCTTTTTTTTTAAAATATATTTTATTGATTTTTTACAGAGAGGAAGGGAGAGAGATAGAGTTAGAAACATCGATGAGAGAGAAACATCGATCAGCTGCCTCCTGCACATCTCCCACTGGGGATGTGCCCGCAACCCAGGTACATGCCCCTGACCGGAATCAAACCTGGGACCTTTCAGTCCGCAGGCCGACGCTCTATCCACTGAGCCAAACCGGTTTCGGCTCCTTTTTAATTCTTACTATGAACATGTAATTCTTCTTAGTTTGCTAATTATGCTTTATATTTACCCATCATTCCCACAAACACTATATAACCCTACTGATGGACTTAAGGAAGGGCTAAGGAAATCTCTAGTACCTGATATACTCGTTAAGCACAAGAGGCAGTTTTCATAAAACAGTAATATCAAGAAGAATCTTCAAGGTATGCAGTGTGTAATAACTTTAAAGGCAGCTCTTGAACTGGTAGGCAAGTAGAAGCTGCAATAGGAAATCCAAGATGGCAGTGGAGTAGGTGGAAGCTACATTCACCTGCTCCCAAGACCAAACTGGAATTACAACTAAATTATAGAACAACCATCCTGAATATCCAAATGAACATTAGCTAAAGAGAAGTCTAAAAACCAAGGATTATAGAAGAAGCTGCACTGAGACAGTAAGAAGGGCAGAGACACGAAAAGGGCTGGCCCTGCTCCCAAGGTGGCTGAGATTCCGGAGAATATCTCAGCTGCAAAGCATGAGGTCTAACCTCCAAGCCACGCTCTCCAGCCTAGAGCACCAGAACTGGGAAAGACGCCCACATAACACAGGGCTGTGAAAAGCAGCAGGGTTTCTGTCCATCAGGGAGAGATGGGAGTCAGCCAGAGACACAGCACCTTCTTAAAGGGCCAATGCAAAAATTTCATTTGCAGCCACTCACCCTGGGCTCCGGCAGAGGGAGGGCAGAGCAGACTAGAGTCTCATGAGGAGAGTGGAATTTGTTTGTGGCTCTGGGGAGAA